TTTCAAAGATGAAAAAAGGGAAAGGGAGAGAGAGAGAGAGGAAAAAGCCGCAGGGGTGGCGGATCTTGGCGGCTGCTTCCGTACGCCATTTATCCGGCTGGGGAAAGCGATGCTGTTGCCCTTTTACTCTCTCGTAGCCGATCGGGGAAAGCATCGGCCGCTTTCTTTCCAAAGGAGGAAGGAAGAAAGAAGCGGCGACGGGGGCGACCACCGCCGGTGACCTCATGGCTTGCTTCGCCCTTCCTCCTCCGCCGCCCACGTGCTCAGCAGCGCGCTCTGCCGGTTCCGGCCGGCAGCAAGAGAGCACGTGGCCCCGCCGAGGCTCCGCCCCCTTGCGGCCCGGCTCCGTGCGGGAAGGAGCCAATGGGGGAAGAAAATGTGGCCCTTTTTCCACGCCCCGCCCCCCCTTTGGCTCGCGGCGCCTCACGTGGGGCGGCCGCCGCCGGGCCAGGCCACGTGGTCGCTTTTCAAGGTCGTTCTGCTCTTGGAGAGGCGGAACCGGCATCCGGGCTTCCGGAGGGGTTGGGGGGTTAGGGATTAAGCAGGCATCGGTGAGTCAGGGCATCCGGCCTCTGGGAGGAGGATGTTCTCTGGAGGGCATTTGACTTGTGGTGGCCCCCATGGAGCAGTTCAAAGAATGGGGCGGCTAGGATTTGAAAAGCATCCTCTAGACCCCTCCCAGCCTGAGAAGACTTCCTCTTTAATTTCATTTATTTATTTGAAATATTTTTACCTTGCCTTCCTTCCTCCTTGAAAAGGACCCAAGGCAGCTTACACAACAGCAACAGACAAGGTTGAAACTTGAAAACAGGGAGGGTTTAAAAGACAGTCTTTAAAACCATGAACAAAGACTAAAAAAAAGGCTGGGTGAAAATATTTTCAATAAATCGTGGTTGTATTTTTTTTTTTTTTTTTGCTCATTGTGTCTAGTTACAAGATTAATTTTAAAACCTCTTTTTCTGTAAAGCAAAGACTGAACTGAAAGACTGTACATGGAGGGATGTCCTATATTTTCCTGATTCAACCGATGGCTTTAATAAGATTTTTCTATTTTTTTTTCAGCAACAATGTCTAAGGGACCATCTGTTGGCATTGATCTTGGCACTACCTACTCCTGTGTGGGTGTTTTCCAGCATGGCAAGGTGGAAATCATTGCCAATGATCAGGGTAACAGGACCACGCCAAGCTACGTTGCCTTTACAGACACAGAGAGGCTTATTGGAGATGCTGCGAAGAACCAAGTGGCCATGAACCCCACAAACACGGTCTTTGGTAAGAATGCCTCCGTTTTCTGAGAAATTGGGGTCTCAATAGTCAAATTTGAGGAGGGTGGAATGTTTTAAGTGTAGTTTTTTGTAATACGAAAACTTCAGAAAATACTGCAAGAGGGAGAATATTGTGTAATTGTGGTATAGTAAGAACAGTGATGTCACCATTTCTCTTAATAAGAACATGAAGTAATTTGTAGTTGATTGTACCTTAACTTTGCAGTAAATCTATACTTCATGGAGGGTCCTCCATTTTCTCTTCAGCCCAAGTTGCGAGAGGGAAGGTATAGGAAGAATACTAGAGTGGTGGGAAACTGCAAAGTGCTGATAAATTGGTGCAGACCTGAGATAAAAGACAGAATTGTGTAATTCTCCCTTGGCCAGTATGGGGCCTTGCACTTCTTTAGAGCTACAATTTATGTTTTAGTCCCCTTGATAGAAGTAGGAGTTTCTGTTATGAGGTTACTTTTGAGTCTTTCTGTATCTCAAGGGGCTTTGTATGTTAATAGCTACTTTGTATTTATTTATAGATGCAAAGCGCCTGATTGGTCGCAGATTTGATGATGCTGTTGTCCAGTCTGATATGAAGCACTGGCCTTTCACTGTTGTGAATGATGCTGGTAGGCCAAAAGTCCAGGTGGAGTACAAAGCAGAAACAAAGAGCTTTTATCCTGAGGAGATATCCTCTATGGTGCTAACCAAAATGAAGGAGATAGCGGAGGCGTACTTGGGAAAGGTGAGAGTTTTGGGGTAGTTGAAGCTGACATTCTACTTGGAGACTAGTGATGAGGGTGTGATAAGTAATGCTTCTCCCACCTCTGGTTTTTGCAGACAGTTACTAATGCTGTGGTTACAGTCCCAGCTTATTTCAATGACTCCCAACGCCAGGCGACAAAGGATGCTGGAACCATTGCTGGCCTCAATGTACTCCGAATCATTAATGAGCCAACCGCAGCTGCTATTGCTTATGGACTGGACAAAAAAGTGAGTAGGAAATGGCATTGCAGTCAGAAGCAGATTTCTGGTACTGAAAAGTTTTTTCTGTTGATCTAAATGGGTTGGTGTTTGTGTCCCCCCCCAGGTTGGTGCAGAGAGAAATGTGTTGATCTTTGACCTTGGCGGCGGCACCTTTGACGTCTCCATCCTCACCATTGAAGATGGCATCTTTGAAGTCAAGTCAACGGCCGGGGACACCCACTTGGGTGGCGAGGACTTTGACAATCGAATGGTCAACCATTTCATCGCCGAGTTCAAACGCAAACACAAGAAGGACATCAGTGAGAACAAGCGAGCCGTCCGTCGGCTCCGCACTGCCTGTGAGCGTGCGAAGCGTACCCTTTCCTCTAGCACTCAGGCCAGTATTGAAATCGATTCCCTGTACGAGGGCATTGACTTCTATACCTCAATTACTAGAGCTCGCTTTGAAGAGCTGAATGCTGACTTGTTCCGTGGCACTCTGGATCCCGTGGAGAAAGCCCTGCGGGATGCGAAGCTCGATAAATCTCAGGTACATGACATTGTCCTGGTTGGCGGGTCCACCCGAATCCCCAAAATCCAGAAGCTGCTTCAGGACTTCTTCAACGGCAAAGAACTCAACAAGAGCATCAATCCTGATGAAGCTGTAGCTTACGGAGCAGGTAATTACAATTACTATTTTTGCACCTGTGAAGCAATTGTAGGTTCATGGTACTATTTCAACTGAACGTAACTTGTGTGCACTAAGTGTTTACAGATGTGGCTGTCAGAAGTTTTTATTTGTGTGGATGACTTAACGGCTTCTCTCTTGTTCTGTTTTTAGCTGTTCAAGCTGCAATTCTCTCCGGGGACAAATCTGAAAATGTCCAGGACTTGTTATTGCTAGATGTCACTCCTCTGTCTCTGGGCATTGAAACAGCGGGTGGGGTCATGACTGTCCTGATCAAACGCAATACAACCATCCCCACAAAGCAGACTCAGACCTTCACGACTTACTCTGACAATCAGCCAGGTGTGCTGATCCAGGTATGGAGAGGTTTAAACATTTCATTGAGTTTGGAAGGATTGGGACACTGACAGTGTTGGTGCTTAACTTTCTGATACTGATACAGAGCGTATTAGCAAACCTTATAAGTAAGACGAGGCATGTTTTTAAAAAGCCTGTACTTTGGTCGGTACTTGCCAAGACCATAGCAAATGGGCTCATGTTTGGTTGCAATGATGAAGATGACTCCAAAACCATTCGTAGTTTCCACCAGAGGTTGAAAGACCTGTGTTGGCTAAAGTACCTTCCTTGGATGTCTGAGCGACTGGTTACTTCTTGTCTTTTAAAGTTGTCTAGATGCTCCATAGATAGAGCCCAAGTGGTCCTGTTTGCATGAACAATACGCTCAATGTTACTCTTGATTTTCTCTTCTAGGTTTATGAAGGGGAGAGAGCCATGACCAAGGACAATAACTTGCTAGGCAAGTTTGAATTAACTGGCATTCCTCCAGCTCCCAGGGGGGTTCCTCAGATCGAAGTGACGTTTGATATTGATGCCAATGGTATCCTCAATGTGTCTGCTGTGGATAAGAGTACCGGCAAGGAGAACAAGATCACAATCACAAATGATAAAGGTACGTACAGATGGTTGATGGCTGTTTGTAGCAGGAAAGTATATATGCAGTGCATTAAGTTTTCACATAGTCTGTGCAAGCATTAAAAGTGAAAATAAAGGCAAAAAATGTGGTACCTTAAAGATGCAACTTTTTTTAAAGGTTCCACCACATTTTTTGTTTCCACTTGTGTACTTTTTTAGTTAAATGTTTTGGGGCAATGTTAAATAAACTGCATTGTAAGTTTAAGAAGCTTACATTTTGTTACGTCTTCCTTTGCCTTCCAAGTTCCTTGTTCTGAATGGGATCACAGCAGTGGTACTTCACACTTACTTGATCTTAGCTAGCATTGTATAATGTTTGAAGAATCAAAAATGAAGCTATGTCTTTGTTTTGTTTTTAAGGTCGTCTGAGTAAGGAAGACATTGAGCGTATGGTCCAGGAAGCTGAAAAATACAAGGCAGAAGATGAGAAGCAGCGTGACAAGGTGTCTTCTAAGAATTCCCTAGAATCTTATGCTTTCAATATGAAGGCAACTGTAGAAGACGAGAAACTTCAAGGCAAGATAAGTGATGATGACAAGCAGAAGATTTTGGACAAATGCAATGAGATTATCAACTGGCTGGATAAGAATCAGGTTTGTAATCAAACTGGATAATGTGTGATGTTGCATCTAGAATGCTCTTGATTTTTTTATAGCGACCAAATATTAGATTTCAAAGTTCTGCTTTTGGTGCTTACTACAAGGTAGCCTGAGTAAAGGCTGACAAGGATTATGTTGGGCTGATTACCACAGTATAAAATGTCAGTGCCTTAATCTATCAATGGGTGATAAAATAGATTTAAAACTGAGATTTATTAACTTGGGTTGCAATGATGAAGATGATTCCAAAACCATTCGTAGTTTCCACCAGAGGTTGAAAGACCTGTGTTGGCTAAAGTACCTTCCTTGGATGTCTGAGCGACCCTGTAATCTTGCAAATCCTCTAGTCATTGTGCTGCAGCTTCTTTCTGATGATGAAGGTTGGCAGATTCCTAACACCAAAGTAAACAAATGATTTGCACTTTGAAACAGGTGCAGAATCTGTGGTCCTTTATTTGATCTTGGTACTCCCCTCCCAGAGAAGTTAATTTGGAATCCCAGCATCTTACATTTTTAGTCTATACGCAGTTCACATCTCTCTAATGATGGCTAAGTCATACTCTGGTCTGTGATTTTTAGCTAGGTGTCCTTTCAAGATGTAATTGTTTCTGTTTGCCCTCTTTGCAGACTGCCGAGAAGGAAGAATTTGAGCATCAACAGAAGGAGCTGGAGAAGGTCTGCAACCCCATTATAACCAAGCTGTACCAGAGTGCTGGTGGGATGCCTGGAGGCATGCCAGGTGGCTTCCCTGGTGGCGGAGCACCCCCCTCTGGAGGAGCATCTTCTGGACCAACGATTGAGGAGGTCGATTAAAGCGCTCCAGAAACGACATTCCCAGAATTCAACTTCAGAACTTGAAGGACTCAAACTAATTTTACAAGGGCATTCTTGATACTTTTAAACGACCACAGGGAGGGGAAGGGCAAACATTGCACTTTACCAGTACTGTAAAAAAACAAATATACGGAAATGCAACTTGAGTCCCAATAAACAAGATTTATTTAATTGGCAACATAAACAAGAGTTCCTGTGTTTTGATTTGTCATGAGGCACAACTTCTAGGGGAGAGCCTAGTCTTCAAATTTGCTAGAGGTCCAAGGTTTTCTTTGAGAGGAATAGTTGTAGAGCAGGCCATGTTGCCAGTTTGACACTCATTTACTAGTCAGATGCAATAAGGGGGGGAGGGAAACAATGAAGTTTCACAAAGGGAAGTAGCTTTTGTGAGCAGGAAAGGGGCCCCGTTAACAGGGACTGTTTTGACAGCTGTGTAGATCTGAAATGTAGCTGTTTGTAATACAGGAGTCTAGTTAAAATCTAGTCATAACTAGGGGGAGGATTCCTATGGCATTGCACAAGCAAGTTTAAACAGGTTTATGAGTAATCTGGCCTTTCATTCCCAAACTGCAGAAAAAATCACATGTTGTAGAAGCTGTACTCCCCTTCCCTACTCAGGCATAGGTAGAGTAGGCTTATTGAAATAGGATTGGGGAAGTCCATGCCTAAGTGTCATAGATTCATTAGCTCTATTCTAGTTCAGATTTCAGCCAGTGAATCTAAATCTATAAAATTAGTTCAGCCAATGAATCTAATTGACCATTGCAGTTTGGGGTTCCAGGTTGGCTTGCAATCTTGGATGTTGTGCAGTTTGAATTGCTAGGCTGGTAGAATTGGCAAAAGAGCCTTAGTATTTTGGATATGATGACAATATGTTGTGGTACAGAAGCATCTGTAGGACCCATGCCAGTGTGTTCCTTTGGTGTACATGAGCGATGCAACCATAAAAATCCTACTGAATTGTATCCGCCATCTTTGTACGTGGCTGTGTTAGCCCCTTGAAACAGCAAAGACCCTACAACCAAATGCTCATAGCCAAACCTTATAGCGTTTGGCAATTAACTGAAGCTCACTTGACCCATAAGTACTTAAAATTTCCACTATTTTTTTGATTACACAAGAGCTGAGCTCTTCAATGTTTCAGAACATGTGGCTGGAATTGCCCAGGTAGTTCCGTATTTGTATTTCCTGTTAGCCATCAAAATTGTGCACTAGAGCAAATGCACCTTTTTTGTCAGTGCAGCAACACTGTTTCAAGGTAGCCTGTTGAATATTGTGGGAAAACTGAAACTCGTCAAAACTTATACGTATTTCCTGTTGGCCATCAAAATTGTGTACTAGAGCAAATGCACCTTTTCTGTCAGTGCAGCAACACTGTTGTCAAGGTAGCCGTTGCAACTGATTAAATATTATGGGAAAACTGAAACTCGTCAAAACTTATACTGTATACTGTAATAACTGCTGTCAAGTCAGTTCTGACTTTTCCAAGTTTTCCAGGTAGAATACTCAACAAGCGAATCCTTGTTTAAATTAGCCCATGTAATGTTAAGCTGCAATGGAATTTTAGCATCAGAAGTGTTCGTAGAACTTAAATCCTGAGGAGTGGAAATAACCTTTAAATGCCAACTTTTAAATGTAACATACAGCTCCCTAATCTTAAGGCTTCTAACTAGAGATTTTTTCATAAAACCTGCAAATCATGAACAAAAGATTTTTTTGAGGCAGGGGGTTGGCCCACCCAAAACCAGAAAAATAATCTTGAAAGAATAATATATTTTTTTCTGTTTTTGAGTGAGCCCAACAACATTACTATAGAATTCCAACAGAATTTTTGTGTAATTTTTGCCAAAACTACAAATTTTCAGCTGAGCAGTTTAACATTGGTTTAGCTTAGTCCAATTTAGATAATTGTTGGTAATAGCCATTTTATTTCAGTACTGTGTTTCATCTGGAATTTACAGAGTACCCTGGCATGTCCAGATGAGGTCCGCATGTAGTCTTATAAATTCTAGCAAGATAATACAGTAACTAGTCGATTTTGCCACTTTTAAAACGGCTTTGGACTGCTTTTCGGAGGCAGTTATTCTTTTAACGAAAGAATTTTGGGCTTGTAAATATGGTGTCCGTGGTCTGATAAATTGGGCAAAAATACAGGTGCTCGGCATATTTGAGTACCCCCATGGAGATAAGGTGGGTGCACTTGGAAGCAAAATGCTTGTTTTCTCCACCAGATGTCAGCAGCTAGTAATTTTTGGGCATTTTACATTTACCAGGGCTCAAACCAACACAACATTCAAATCAAGCCATTGCCAAGACTGTGTTCCTGTTCCGGCATTTATTCGTTCTTTTTTGTTATATTTTACCTTTTAATATTGTTTGTTTTCCTATTATAAGCCGAGCCACCTTGGGAAAGGTGGGGAATAAATACCTTAAATAATAAGGGCAGCTTCATCTGGCAATATTTCTTGCACCTGTTGTTGCAGGAATTACCGCTCACTTGTGAAGTAGGCCAGAGTGGAATAAAATGACAAGATGGGGCATCCAAAGCCAGTAATTGTCATGGGGAGAGTTGATCTGGTAAGAGCACCCCAAGAACACTTAGTTCTCCTAATTTTTTTATGACTACAACCACCACCACGGCTAGTTTCTGTGTGTGCTCTCAAGCCAATTCTGACTTCTGGCAACCCTTTTCAGGGTTTGCTGGATGAAGAGTACAGTGGTGCCTCACTAGACAGTTATCCCGCATGACAGTTTTTTCGCTAGACATTGACTTTTTGCAATCGCTATAGCGATTGGCAAAACAGTGATTCCTATGGGGGGATTTTGCTGGACAATGTTTGGTCCCTGCTCCGCAAACCGATTTTCGCTAGACAACGATTTTGACAGCTCCCTCCGCGCTCGCAAAACGGGTGTTTTCGGGACCTAAGCTTCGCAAGACAGCTATTTAAACAGCTGATTGGCGGTTCGTAAAGCACCTTTCCTATGGCTGATCTTCTCTAGATTAAACAGGTTTCAATTTTATTTATTTATTTATTTATTTATTTGATTTTTTACCCCGCCCCTCTAGACCATGTCTACTCCAATGGGGAAATGCTTTTCGCTAGATAATGATTTTGCTAAACAGCGATTTCAGTGGAACGGATTATCGTCTAGCGAGGCAGCAGTGTACTCAGAAATGTTTGCGCATCCCCTTCTTCTGGGGGCAACCCTGGGACTGCTGTGCAGATGGCCCAAGGCCACCCAGGCTGGCTCTTCTCCCTGGAGGCTCAGTGGGGAATCAAACTCCCAACTTCTGGCTCACCAGTCATACACTTAAAACGACTTAGCCATCCAGCTCCCCCTTATTTTACTGTGCAATTTTTAAGTGATTTATCTGTTTGAAAGATTTGCCCCACCTTTCTCCTTAAAAAGAACCAAGGTGGCTTTACATCGTTAAAGGTAACAGAGAAGCAAGGAACAGTGCATATACAAATACTAACAAAGACCAAACAAAATATCGTACAAAAAAATAAAAGCAACCGCCAAACGCATTTACAGCGGTGAGGTACGACAATCCATCTACAGAAAAGAATAGATGGAAAAAAAGAATAAAGGTTATATCTCAGTTTGCTCAGTGTTCTGTCTGTGGTTTTCAACACTTCTCCTGTTACAACATCCATGTGCGGTAGGCCAGAGTGAATGTCCTGGTTCGGTGGGGGTCCGCCTGGATTTTTCTCAGCTCCCCACATTTTAAACCATTAAGCCTTGTTTTCTGCAAATAAAGACTGGAAGAGAGTTGGCAGTGATGGGGAGGCGAAGAGGTAAGTCAATAAAAGCATGAAGTGGCCCTAAAAATTGGGAGAGGTCTTGGCGGGCGGCGCCATAGAAGTGCAGCTGCCTCCTGCCTCACCAATTATCCTCTCCCTGTCTTCCTTTCCGCCACCAGAAGAGCTTGCCCTTGGTAGCAGAGGCTTCAATTAAGGCATGATTAGAGAGGGCCAGAAGGTAATTCCTTGCTTATCATCGGGTCAAGAAGCTATTGGATCCCATCTGATGGCAAAAAAAATCTCGTGGATTTCTAATTCCAAGCCACTTTGCCATCCATCCCAGCCTCCCCTCCTGTTCACAAGGGATAATGCCAGCTGGGCGCCTTGGGTTGCAACATAAAGCCGTTTAGATCCTTCTTGACTTGCATGCGATAATCTTCTCCGATCTCTGAACAATGAGCAAATTGAGAAGGACTTTCTCCCTTTTGTCTTATACAACCAGGGCAGAGCAGCCATCAGGGTTTTTTTTGGGGGGGGGTGTTGATGTTTTTTGCCTCTCCACCTTGCCGTTGCTTTCTCCTTCCTTGCCCGTATTAGGATTATGGCCATTAATTTCAGATTACAGGCACAGCCGCCGCCAAGCGAAATGGCTCAGGAGGAGACAAAAGGGAAATTGCATCTTACGCTGTAGCTTGTCTTGATTCAGCCCTGCTTTAGTGACTGACTATGCTAACTTCTCTGTGTGTTGGTTCCCCAGAAGGCCATCATCTGTGTACCATTAAAGGAGTCATTTAGCAGGCTCACGGATACCCCAAGATTTGGGGAAGTACGGAGAGGGTGGGGAAAAAAACCCTATAAGTGGGAAACTCTCCTGCAATTGGGGTGAGCAGAATCAAAAGCAGCTGAAGGAGAATGGGACTTGTTGAGCTTCCCCGGAGCCCTGAATGTGTCGTGGAAAGAGACAAGGGTGATAAAATGCTGTTATCCTTGGGGGCAAAGAATTTCAGCAATTTTGGCTCTTGCTTTTGAACAACCTGTCCTTGGCAAAAAGAACAACCAGAGGCTCAGTTTACGAAGTGCGCAAAACGACGGATAGAAATGTACCTTAGACCGGCAGAGCTGGAAGGGAACCTATACACCACTGAGTCCAACCCTTGACAAAAAAAAGGCTCAATGGAGGATCCCAACCTCTGGGTCTGCAGCCAGATGCCCAAATCCCTGAGCGATCTGATCCCTTAATTGCTGCCACAAGGCAATACTGAATTATAATCTCAGGGAATAGGTACGGAGGCTTAAGAAGGCGGTTCTGATCTACAGGACAAAGCTACTACTGTTCAGTTTGTTTTTCATGTGTCATCGTCCCCCCCCCCAGTTCCCAACCTGCATATCCTAAAGATTCCCAATGCTGCACGTTTTATAGGATTCTGCAGGAAGAATT